TTTCAACTTCTTAACAGGTGGACCTGTTAAGCTTGTTGACTAAATTACTCAATAGACATGATTTTGGTAAAAGGAAAATTACATTTAATAATCAAATGTGCCTAATTAATATTTTGTTATGAGGGTTAGTTTACATGTGCAAAACTGCTTTCATCTAGGATTATTATGTATATGTTAATGGATACCATGTCTCAATATTATATAGCTTAACTTTCTTTTAGATATGTCGTGCCTATAGCAATCATGCTATTTTTTGCCCATCTTATATATGATCTTAGTATATAAAGAGTTCCACATCCTAAACTACTCTCATATATGGTCTTGCTGGGAAAAATCATTGTGCAGAATGGATTGAATATCATTGTCCTTTCATGCATGTGCCATGGAGGAATGGGAATGGGAATGGTGAATGCGCTGAATATCATTTTGATGAAGTTCATTATGTTGAATATCATTTTGATGAAGTTCATTATGCTATAATGTTGAGTTTTAATATCATTGTCCTTTCATGTTTGTAGTGTTGAAGAATGACATCTTTAAGCACGGCAACAAGCAACGAAGAGTTAAAATATCACAATATACATTGCCCCATTTGTAGGAAAAAGCGATTATTAAAGTTTCCGAATTTGAAAAAAGTCCTAGGAAGCTATATTGCAAATGTCCAGACGATTCCAGTCATTTTTTTAAGTGGATGACTCCTATTACTCTCCCATCTTCAGAAATTACAAATGAGAGGATGGATGTACGACGAATTGAAAATAATGTACGACAAATTGAAGACAATGTACGACGAATTGAAGAACTTTGTAATGTAGTTCAGCGTGTTGAGGCTAAAGAAGGTTCAATGAAGTCAAATATGTTTGTAGTTATTTTTTTTGTGGTGATGCTTATATTTGTGATTCTAGTGAAGTAAAGCTATAAGAGCAATAGTGTAGTGATGAAACTTGTGTTGTAAATGAACTTGTGCATTTAATTTGAATGAAATTGTGAGTTTTGTATATTGTTGTGACTTGGAAGATCATATTCATCAAAAAAAGATCACATTCATTAAGAAGATCACATTCATTAAGAAGATCACATTCATTAAAAAAAATTCACATTCATTAAAAAAAGATCAGACCTGATAAAAAAAAAACAACAAGCATCCTTACAATTGCTAGTAGTCTCATTAAAAATAAATAGTTTTCAACTAAATGAGAAATTGAGTAGTCTCCCTATGCATCCTTCTAACTACTGATCCTCCAAGCATCCTTACAAGTTGTATTCCCCATTCATGAAAAATAATTTAACGTCGTTTAAAGAATGCACATGTATTCTCTCAGTCGGAATACCCTATATTAATGAGAAGGGGTCAGACAAAGCAACTTGATAAATATGTGAAACAATAAAATTAACAATAAGGTAATATACCATAACACTTTGTACACTATTTGAAACTTGAGAAGACATCGAATGATCATTTACTAATGTACACAGGTGACTGAAACCTTGTACTTGGAATAAAAAAATACTTATAATTATGTTTATAAAAATATGAAGTGAATTAAAAAAATCTACAATTATATTTATACGATACTATAGACATATGTGATGGTTGGGAACCTCTTTTTTTTTTCTTTGTTGCTTTCTCATGCCAAGATTTTAGTTGACCCCAACCTTTGCAACCACATTCTTTTCTTTTTAAGCCTTTAACTTAGAGAAGGTTTGAGTCAACATTTTCTATTCCGCTTGAGTCAACATTTTCATGGATTGAGTCAATATTTTCATGGATTTAATCATCGCCACCATCAGCAATTGATGCATACATACTATCCACTTGTTTGAACAATTCCTCTACACCACATGACACCAAATGATATGCAGGTTAAAGACTAGAGCATCAAGCAGCTAGTTGTACCATTTTAGGACAAAGCTGCCTGTAATGTGACGCCACCATTAACTTGAGATTCTCTTCATTTGACATTAAAATGGGGGTTGTCCAACAACTCTTTCTTGCATCCCGTCTCCATCTCTTATATTTGTATTGCTTGGGAATTTGCTTAATATTCATCATGTTCAAGACTTTAAGTGCATGACCACATAATATTCCCTCAATTTCAAACTTTTGAACACTGCAATTGACTATCTCCCCAGTAACCTTAACCAAGATCAAATACTCTCTATGTTCATTATATAATCGAACCACACATTGATGCCACTCATCCAACACATCACATGGTGTCACAATAGCACACTGAAAGATATCATACTCCACTTGGAATAGCTCAAACATAGTAGAAATGTACATTTGTCCTGCTTGCACTAACATTGGAGCTCTTTTTAACTTCAATCTAAGTAATTTTGCCTAACTTGATATTCTGAGTCTGACTTCTTATACCACTTATTATTCATAACTCTTTCAAAATATACAAAGAACTGAACAATGTCATGGTCTGGTTTTAAGTACTTCTATAAGGTTGCATTCAAGCTCTCACTCAATTGGGTGTTTCTCATTCCTCCAGTGAAAGTCATTTGCATATACACATGCCCTCATTTCTCTTGCAATACCCAAGTGACTTTCATCCACATATTATCATGCAAATTATACTCCGCAAGGAACAATTCTCAAGCCTCAAATAGTTCATTCTCTTCCTCATATCCATACACACACTCTTTAAATCTAGCAGGAAATTGTAAATCATCCTTATATATGTTCCTTAAATGTTTCAAAGCATTTTGACAAAGATGTCAAGTAAATAATCCATGGTATGTCTCTGGCATGACTATAGAAATAGTCTTAGCCATCGCTTGATCTTGATTCGTGAAGATGGTAATAGAATATTTTCTAAACATAGCTTATAGGAATGTTTCAACCAACCACTGAAATGATACTACCGTTTCATCATACAATAATGCAGCTCCAAATAAGACTGTTCTCTAAAATGATTGAAGCTAGTGAAACAAGCAAATGGTCGATATTCTTTGTTCGTCCTGAAAGTAGTGTCAAATGAGACAACATCTCCAAAGTTGTCATAGTCAATAATTATCACTGGGTCGGGCCAAAAAATATTAGTAATATGCTCATCCGTATCCAATTGCACTACATAATAGAATGATGGATTTTTCACTGCTTTTGTTTGAAAATACTTCAAAAAACTACCCACCTCACCATACCTCAAGTCTCGTTGCCTCCTTTCACGGAGATAATTCTTTTGGTCTTGAGGAGTAAAACCAATACTTTTCTTTCCTCCAGACTGAGTACTTAAAAGATCATAGGAAGCCTTAAGTGACAATCCACAATCCGCTGTCATATCAATATTAATGTCTTGTGCTGCGGTAACCTTCCGTTGGGATGACATCATATGCATACATTCAGCAAGGTGCAAAGGATGGTTGTGGTTATTGTCCCGCTTTACCACAAGAAATTTACCAATTTCTCTATTAAGAGATATGAGGTTGACAATTTGTTCTTGTTTCTGCTCGAGGCTTTCTTATTTGACACTCTCTTTTATCACGACTCCTTTGACCTTGTTTACAACAAACATATTTTCTGTAAATGACAACGCCATCTTTCAAACTTTTATTCTGAAAATCTTTTTTCATACTAAATTCCACAGACCCTCCATAACTATTATAAAACATATAAGCATCTTCCTCCTTATCAAATTATATACCAATATGAGGTATATTTTCAGTCGCATTAACTCCCAATTTATCCATCATAGAATCCTACAATAAGGAATTTAATTGAAATGACATTATGTGGTGAATGAAACACCTAATATAAGTATGACATTCAAAAAAAAATAAAAATCAAACTAGATCAATATTGACCACAAAAATAAAAACAAGATCAACAAATAATAGGTTAAATACATCTTCTATGACTACTTGCATTCATAGATGGAACTAGATGTCATGTACATAAGGTTATATAATTCTTAAGAAAATTAATCAAACTCGACATAAATTGTATTATAAGATTTATATTTCAACGCAACAAAAGAATCACAATTTCCACTACCTATAATTGTATCAGAAGTAATCCAAAACCTACAAGAAGTCCAAGACTAACTCTAACAAATTATTAAGTTTGAAAAGAAGCAAACCAAACAGCCCACTAATCACAAATAGTCAACAACAACTATCCCTAAATAACAACAATACCAAATAACCCAAAGCAAAGTCTAGCGAACAGCCCAAGGACAAGCTTAGCAAACTAAGTCTCACTTCACATTTGATAGTAGTAAAGAGAGCTTGAAAACAAAAAGTGAAGCTCATCCACGCAAATTCCAAAAGAATTAAGTCCAAGGTAAAACAAGTGCCAAAAACAAACACCCCAAAGGCTGAACTAGCAAACTAATTCAAAAGCCTAAAGTAAGGAACCATTCAAATTAGGGTTTTAACCAAAACAATTGCTAAATCATAGTATAGCAACCATACAGTGGGAATGGTAGCAACAAATGAGAATTTCAGCAACCTCACAGCTCCTAAGTAATAACTCATAAAAGCACAGAAGATCAAAGGTCCAACCAGAAGAACAATGCAACTTATTTTTCACTGCACTTGACGAAAAAGAAGAGGGAGACTGAGTTGTGAAGAAGGCGAGAGAAAGGACTCTAGTTTTATGAAGAAGAAATGGGAAAAAGAAAGGAAGGGGTCTGAAGTTGATTTCAAAGGACAAAAACAATGTAGTTTTTGGTAAAGAAGATTAAAAAAAAATATTACCGTTTTAATAAATTGCATAATATGCGGTAACCTCCCAACCGCCGACGAGCCAGACTCTTGGTTGACAGGAGAAGAGTGAGGGCAAGAAAGGAGGGGCAAATATGTTTTGGGTGGGGTTATCCTCGTGCTTGGGTTTGTAACCCATGGGAGGAGTGGGTTAAGTGTAGCCGGTGTAAGAGAGTTAAGTGGTATCGTAGAAATCGGGTCAAATCTTAACCCGAGATTTATATCCAATCTCAAAAATGACTTTGCAAACGGAGGTTATTTATGTTCCTCCCCTATTTTATCCCATCCAAGTAGTGGATAAACCTTTCCCCCATTATGCGAACACCACCCTGTATCTGTCTCTTGCACTGCTCCATCATCCTCTCAGCCTCTCAAAGTCCAACCCCAAAACCGTAGCTCCGAAGTGTCTCCGATGGCCCTTTCCGTCGAGAAAGCCTCATCTGGCCGAGAATACAAGGTCAAGGACATGTCTCAGGCCGACTTTGGGCGGCTCGAGATCGAGCTCGCCGAGGTCGAAATGCCCGGTCTCATGTCCTGCCGGGCCGAGTTCGGCCCGTCTCAACCTCTCAAAGAGGTCCGCATCACTAGCTCACTCCACATGAACATCCAGACCGCCGTATTCATCGAAACCCTCACTGCACTCGGCGCCACCGTACGGTGCTGCTCTTGCAACATCTTCTCCACCCAGGACCACGCCGCAGCCGTCATTGCCCGTGACGACGCCGCTGTTTTCGCCTGGAAAGGCGAAACCCTCCAGGCACTATATCAATAACCCCTATTACTTGCGGATTCGGATGTTTTCTCAATTTTGCTATTTCACCGAATTCAGGTGTGACTCATAAGTGGGTTTCTTGGACCCTTGCCTATGCTGAGTGATGCGTGAAATTGAGGAAAAGTGTAGTATAGAAGATTTGGATTCAATGTTTGCTACGTATCTGTTTTTTGAATTTTGATATATCGTTTTTTTTATCTACTTGTTCATGTGTTTACGTGCAGGAGTACTGGTGGTGTATTGAGAGGGCACTGGACTGGGGTTCGGAAGGTGGTCCAGATTTGATTGTTGACGATGGCGGAGATGCGACCCTTTTGATTCATGAGGGTGTTAAGGCTGAGGAAGAGTATGAGAAGACAGGGAAGTTGCCGGATCCGAGCTCGACGGATAACGTGGAGTTTCAGTTGGTTTTGGGGATAATTAAGGACGGGATCAAGGTGGATCCGAAGAAGTATCACGAGATGAAGGAGAGATTGGTTGGGGTTTCGGAGCAGACGACCTCAGGTGTGAGGCGGTTGTACCAGATGCAAGTTAATGGGACTTTGCTATTTCCCGCCATCAATGTTAATGATTCAGTCACTAAGAAAAAGGTACGTGTTGAAAATGAGAAGGTGTTATCTTTTGGATTACACTTTTTCTTCTGTTTACAACTGCTGCTTAATTTTGTTATAATTAAAGCATTTTATTTGTTGAATTATTAATGTAGATTGGTTGTGATCTGCTCTTATGTTTAGTTTTGATTTAGCTATTGTTAGTTTAAGAGTCGTAGATGCCAGATCTGTAACTGTAATTTGGCTACTGTTTAAAGGCTTGATCTTTTCCTACTGATTCAATTTAATTAAGGGGAGGAACATTAGAAAGCAGATTTGGGTCGGAGGCAGGATGAGGAATTTGACAATATCAATTAGAGTAATGTGTTCGATGATAATGACAGTGATTGTTATGGTTTTTATGACAGTGATTATTATGGTTTTTAATGAGTGCTTGACTTATAAAATGTAGTATGAGCCTATGTGGCACTCCAGTGTTGTATTTTTGTTACTGGTTATACTTTCCTGCACGTATTAATATACTCTTATCATTGTGATCCAGTTTGATAACTTGTATGGATGCCGCCACTCACTGCTTGATGGTCTTATGAGAGCCACTGATGTTATGATTGCTGGAAAAGTTTCTGTAGTGTGTGGATATGGAGATGTGGGCAAGGGCTGTGCCGCTGCTCTGAAGCAGGCTGGTGCCCGTGTGATTGTGACAGAGATTGATCCCATTTGTGCTCTTCAAGCTCTAATGGAAGGAATTCCAGTCTTGACTTTAGAAGACGTTGTCAAAGAAGCTGACATTTTTGTAACCACCACTGGAAACAAAGACATCATTATGGTTCATCACATGAAACAAATGAAAAACAATGCAATTGTTTGCAACATTGGGCACTTTGATAATGAGATTGACATGCATGGTCTTGAAACTTACCCAGGTGTCAAGCGCATCACAATCAAGCCACAAACTGACCGTTGGGTATTTCCCGAGACTGGGACTGGCATCATCGTTCTTGCTGAGGGATGGTTAATAAACTTGGTATGTGCATCTGGGCATCCTAGCTTTGTGATGTCATGTTCTTTCACAAACCAGGTGATTGCCCAACTTGAGCTTTGGAAGGAGAGGGCAACTGGCAAGTACGAGAAAAAGGTGTATGTTCTGCCCAAGCATCTGGATGAGAAAGTTGCAGCCCTTCATCTCGGAAAGCTTGGAGCTAAATTGACCAAGCTTTCTCCTGAGCAAGCTGCTTACATTAGCGTTCCTGTTGAAGGTCCTTACAAGCCACCTAACTACAGGTACTGAGAAAGAAGATCTGGATGAAGGCTGGTTGTACTATTACTGTTTTTGGCTAGTTTTGTGGTTTTGATTGCTAGAGCTGGAAAGATTCTCTGTTGTAGTCATGTTACTCCAAGTTGTAATTATTATATTTGAGAGAATGGTATGTTGTTTTTGCGATTTCATTCTATTTTGGATTCGGATTGGGGTTATGTCAGTATTCCTGGAGGAGGAATTTTAGCAGATCAAGGAGTGGTTTGGATGTGTCTTGCTTTTGTTCACTTTCAATTTTGTTTTCCATTCTCCTATGTAGAGTGGACAGATTACTGTTATTGTAATGAAATGGTTCAATTTCCTTTTTCCTTAATGTGGTTTGCAATCTGGGACTAGGTCATGCTTGACTTGTCTATGATTAGGTAGGTTGACTGGTAATGCATGGCTGATGACTTGCTGCCTCTTCTAACTACTAAGTTGATTATGGATGCTCTTAAGCTAACATGAGAAGGTTAAGGTTTTGTTTTTGACATAACCCTTTATTGGTTGGCTAATGTTTATTGAAATTCAAACTTATGGGAGAAAAGAGATGATGGCCAAAGGTGAATGAATGTCCTACAGGTTTAAGATGCTGGAGTATGTATTTCTTGTTTTTTTTTGTCATTTGAAGCCACTGATAACATAGCCTGTCAAAAAGGGTTTTTCTTGTGCAGGAAAACAAATCTGCCGGCTGCTGGTGCATGAAGATTGAGATTCAGTGAGTCCATATCATCTGATTCTTGTAACTTTTTTTATCTGTTGCCATTGTCCACTCTATCTTGTTGACTAATCCTGTCTATACGTGACACATATGCCGTTTTTATGTTTGTTTCAAAGGCCTCTGTCATTTCTATATCTATTTTACCTTTGGTATGTTTGCTCTTCTAAATGAAATAAGGGAAAAAAAATCTAGTTTGTATGTAATAATTTACACAGGTATTGAAGGCCACAAACCAATATGTGTAATAATTTACAAAGTCATCATAGTTAAATGATTCATATTTCATAATCCTTTAGGATCAGTATCTTGTTTGGTCTGATAAAAGTAAATCATTTTGCCAGGGAAACACAGCAGTGCCTTGTGGACATCAAATACCTTCAATCCTGTAGGATCATCTGAGTGGACTGGTAGAGTGCCAAATTTGAGCCATGATGGATTAATCATCTGTTTTGTTTTGTTTTCCAAGAATATTGAGTTTCAACATCTAAAATTCCAAGTTAAGTGTCTGCCTTCGCTAATATGATGCAGAGTCATATAAAGACCTGTATATGGCATGAGCCTCCTGACAATACAAGTTGCAGTGCTGAACAGGTCAGGTGCAAAGTGATAGGTGGCTGACTACACAGGTAATTTGTATGATGCAGTTAACCCATTTTTCCGTTCTCATATTGCAGTAACAAGGGCAAAACATGAAACCAAGTTTGTTTTCCTATTTCATTTTTTCCTTTAGGAAGGGGTGGGGTAATAAACATGCAGTACCTTTATAATTGACCACTAGGCATAATGTTCTTTCTTGGGCTCTTTCCAACTTTGCCTTTAGATGATAGTGGGCATAAAAGTACAACAAAATAAGCAGAATAATGCTTTTCTTTGTACTTGCACGTGGTGGTGGTGGTGGTGGTGGTGGTGGTCTTACATAAACCTTTTTGGCATTCGATTACAATAAAGTGACTGGAGGAGACTCTGTGATCTTACATATACCATTTCATTACAATGAAGTGAGTGGGGATTGGGTGTTTCTTATTTTTGATCCTCACTACTCGCGAGCTCAAGAAAATTGTGAATGGTGTGGGTAGAAAATGCATTTCTTCTTCCATGGTAAGTTCTAAAATCTTTTGTTGCCACAAAAGTCCATCATGGTTTTATATGCAGGAAAACTGGTTGGAACTAACCACTAGTTTAATATGCTTCTTTCTTTGAGTTAGAGAGCGGTATTATGAATTTTTTTTTTTACTGCCAGTTAGGAGGATAAACTAGAGCAAAGTGAGCCCATTATGCAATACATTTTGAACTAATTTTTTTGTTAATTGTATCCAGGGAAGGGAATGGATTGGGATGTTTTATCTGTCTGTTTCCTTTGATTTTTTGGTTGAACTAACTTGTTTCGAGTTATGATACCGTTTACTGTATGTTTGTGCCCAGTATATCAGGTTGAAGTGCAGGACAAGAATGCAGTGCCGAGAGTTATTTTTTTGTATCACACTGCAAGTTGCTGCACAATAAAGGTGGATGTTAAAAGATTAAATCCGGTGAGAAAATCTAACGCCCTTTTTCTTCTATTAATTATTGCACAGGAATGTTCTACGATAATTATTTTGAGTTATAATTTTAATATTTATTTTTATAATTTTTGAATATTACGTCTACATCGATCATTCACGTGTACATATATCTATCTGGTATTACAGTTAAATAATTGAATTGTCAATTTATTAAAACACAATTGATCCAATTTTTATTTATTTTAATCTAATGATACAAAATTCATTCCAAATGGTACAATCCCAGTACCAGACAATTCAATCAAAATACTTCTCAATGACAGACAACCATACTAATTCACATTTAACTCTTATTTTTTTCTCTATTCATTTTAATTTTAAATTATATAATTAAAGAAAAAAAAAGAAAAAAAAATATAAATGTGGCAGTAACAATGTTCAATTTTTTATATTGCGGAGTGACTTCAAATACAAATTATTTCTAGTTACTAATATATGGATCTTGTGTAACTAATAAAAATCAATAATGTTTTTTTAAATTACCCATCTCCCTTAAATTTCGGCTTTTGATGCTATAGACAAATATGAAGTTGATGTAGCAATAAATATTTTATTTTTGGGTGATAAACAAAACCATAGGCTTTTCTTTTTAAGCTAAAAGTTGAAGTGAGGATCCAACTGACCTGTGTTCGTGTAGCCTTGTAGATCGTTGAATTGTGGGTTCGATTTTTTAAAATGTTTATTTGTTCACTCCACCCGAGAAAAAATAGGAGAATATTTTCACTATTCTAAATTGAATCAATGACCAAATTATGTAGTTTTTTGATTTCTAATGTATCTCTTAACCTATGGTTTTATACGGAAAATATGATTTTAACCTAATTTTTAACTAATAAAAAATATTGGAAGCATGTTTTGTTGATATGTTTTGATATTGGAAAGGGTGGACGAAATCAATCTTTCTTGTAAACAATGATAGATTAATGTTTCGTTTAGTATGATGAAAAATGGAACGATGAAAAGATAGAAGGATACATAAAACATCATGTTTGGTAACGAAGAAAAATAGAAATGATGGAAAAGTGGATAGATGATCTTTTTTTCAATTCACCAAAATCAATCACTCTAAAATCGAAAGGAAAATTGATATAAAATTAATTATTTGTATTGAAATGTATTTTATTTGTCTATATATTTTTTGTTATATATATATATATATATATATATACACACACACACACACACATTAATTCATATATAAATACAATGATAAAATATTTATTTATTTTTTAAAAAATTAAAAAAAAAATTTCCATCTTACATGCACAAAGAAAAAATTTAATTTTTTTTTATTTTCCACCCATCATACCAAACAAAAAAGAAGAAAAATGTATTATTCGTATTTTTTTTCTTTGAAAGATAGAAATTATATTCTTTTTACTAAACGGAACATAAGAAATAAAATAGAAATCATTGTACATGAAAATAAAAAAAATTACTTATATTAAAAACTCATCATAAATCTTCATAATCATTTGACTATCTTAGTGAAGTTTTGTTAAGATATACGACGGAAGACTCTGTAGTTTTCCTTCTTTAGGAAAATTTTATCAAAAGAGTTGATGTCACGATGCAAGAGAAAGACCGTTATTAGCTTTGACCCCCACAACGGACCAATTTAGCTTACACCTAAACCAGTACCTATCAGTCATGGCTCAGAAAATGAATCAAACAAAAACAAATTTGCATGTATTAAATATTAACAATAATAAAATACCCCTGAAAACAATTACAGTACCAATAACACTTTGAAGGGGTAGGTGTGAGTCACCTCAAACGACGGCTTCCGACCGTCACCACTCTACCTTGAGTTGTATAAGGATTCTTTATGTTTTGTAGTTTTTCATTTTAATTGTTTTTTTAAATGTTTCATTTTATAGGATAAAAAAAATAAAATGATGAAAAGTAAGAAGGATAGAAAGTTAGAGGGATAAATAAAATATCATTTTTGGTAAGGAAGAAAAATAAGAAGAATGTAAAAGTGGATGGATTAATTTTTTTTTCAACTCATCAAAATCAATCTCTCTAAAATTGGAAGAAAAGTAGATGGAAAGTTAATTATTTGTGTAGAGATGTATTTTATTTGTCTATATATTATGTATACATTAATTTCATATAAAAATATAATGATAAAATATGTATATATATATATTAAAAAAATAAAATAAAATTTCTAAATTTTAAAAAATATTTTTTTCATCTTAATTAGGGGTAAAAATTTTTGGCTCAACACGATGACACGACTCGAACTCGACACGAATTTTATAACACGAAATTGAAAATGACCTGACACTCGAATAAGAAATATAAAAGACTCATAATTTTATGACTCAATAAGAATCTGACATGACACGACTCGATTGTCACTCCTAATCTTAACCAGCACCAAAAAAATTTAAAAAAAATTAATCGTTTTAATTTTTATCTATTCAACCAAACACAAAGGAAGGAAAATGTACCATTTATACTTTTCATCCTTGAAGGATAGAAAACGTATCCCTTTTATTTTTCATCATTCCTACCAAACGAAGCATAATAGTATAAATATGGATAAGAGTCACCGTCAATTATCGAACCTTTTATCTAATATCATTTGTCTGCCTTTTTAAAAAAAAAAAAAAATATTATGGGGAACCATTTAAATCACGCCATGTGGAGTTATGATTGTTGTGTAAATTTCATGATGTATGTGTGCGTGCAAGATCCTGCACAATATAAAAAACGAGAACAGATCTCTCCCTTGGTGAACTCGAGTGAGCCAGTTGAGTGACCAACCACGCTGCTTGGAACAGCCTGCGAGGTCCGGTGGTAACCTGGAACGACAAAGGGAGACCCTGGGGGAGCGGAAGAACGATCCAGTAAGGCTGAAAGAGGTCCATGGAACAAAGAAGAACAAGTTAGAAGGGCGCCGGAGTGTTTTCCGGCGTATCCCCTCCAACGATCTAGTCAGTCTTTGAGAAAGAGAGAGGAAGGAGAAAACACTGAGTGTGTATTGTAGTAAAGAGTTTTTTGTTGCAT